TCACATGGCAACTTTTTAGGCTGGTAGCATCTCCAGAATTTTCAATAATTGAAGGCAACGTCCACCCAAAACTTCGTCTTCCATGTTTTACCGGGCATTTCCATGGCGCTGATTTCAGATAAGAAGTTCATATTATCAGAAAACTCTAAAATTGCTCTCTTCTGAAGACCTATTTTGGCAGACGTGGACGAGTGCCCCGGCGCTAGTCACGTTGTATGCTACAGGTAACCTCGTCGTGTGCCACAGTGCCACTTCACAAACTATGCGTCCCGACGTCGCTTGCCATGTCAGAACACGTCACGGGACATTCGTGGATGGGTGGAGCTCAAAAAAGGGGGCGGGCGTAAAGAGGCAGCTGCGTTATCTCATTTTTTACCAACATTAGAAAACCGACCAACACGGTTGGTCTACGTTTAGGGCCTGCTAGTAGGATAAGCAGTTCTGGGGTGACTAGATTCTGGAGGACGTTGCCTCTAAAGGCAGCGTTCACCCAAAATTTACCCTTTACAGATTAGCATATAGTTGTAAAGCGGGCCTCAGGAGTATCCGATTAGTCCGGTCCTTTGACTTGAGCTCTAAGGCCCGTATGCACGTACATCCCCACTGGGGAGGGGAGGGGAGCTGGATCCCCAGGGGAACGATCCCTTCCACTGAACCCCGCTATGACAGAGGAGAGGGGACCGATCCCTTCCTCTGCACTTACAGCGGGGATGGTGTGATTGCGGTTCGCTTCTACCTCACGGCTAATGAACTCGCCGAAAAAGTTACAGTAAGTTTCGGGCCGCATAGGCGGAAATTGGATTGGCGGGCGTCCGCCTCGCAACAGCTCGCGCCGTTTCGCAGCTACAGTACATCATATCGTGCTGAGAACCGAGGTCTGCGTCTCTCCCTTCTCCTCAGTCCCTGCTTGGCAAAATGCCAGCGCTATGCGCTCGCGAGACTTTCGGCGGTGCGTACGCGCCCCTCCTTATGGGATGTTCCGCCTAATCCGGGTGAAACCGACTGTATTTTTGGCCAATTCTTGTGTGTACTAGAATGGCCTTTGGAACAAAATGTACAAAAATAGGATTCGCGCGCATTTGTCCCTTTCTCACTCTTCTTTTTCCACCCTTCCTTCCCATTTATCTCTCCCTCCTTCGATCTTTTGTTCTCCGTATTATTACTGATTCTAAAGCTTCGTTGTACTCGCTGCGTGCTGTCGATAGTGATAATGTTGCTTTTTGAAGTACGATGAGTTTAGCAGTTTAGCAATTCATGTTAAGATTTTCTTGCAATTATGTCGTGGCGATGTGCTTCGCAACATTTTGTAGTTTCGTGGTTTTTAGCGTTTGAGAGTTCGCGGTACTGTTTCGCTGCCTCAGATTTAGCATTTGGTTTTGGAGGTATTGATCGAGCGAACCCCGTTAAGAATCCCTTCTCTTCCCCTCTCCGTGTGCACGAAAGTAACTCAGAAACGCAGGGGAGGGGACCGACATTCCCTACAACGAAGTAGGGGTTCGACGGTGTAAGTCATGCGAGAGAAGCGATTATTCTAGTTCTAATCAGTCATTACAAAGCATTTCGTTTTATTTGATGGAAAATTCTCTTTCAAAGCCGGGTTGCTCTCCCAGCAACTTGTAGCTTGCAATTTTGTTTCTCTCTTCTGTTTTCGGTTCTCGCGAAGAGATTCGAGCAATTATCTGCCAGTTTCGAAGTCTGGAGGAGTTTCTGGTCATTTCCGAGATCTTCGCAATTTCCATATGACAAGATAGTTTTATCTATGTAGGCTACTCGAACACATTGTAGCTATCATATCATACGTTATGTTGCCCCCATCTTCTTATCCCAACACGAATTGCTTCGAAAAAAACCAAAAAGTTTAGCAGATTGGCCTATTTCTGAGTAGAGATTTCCGGAGGTGTGATCCCCCCCCCCCCAGTGTTCCCCTCGTGCATAGCAGGGATGACCGCTGGGGATCATTCCCTTGGGGTAATGGACGATAATCGCTAATTGCTGCAGCCTTTATGGAAAGCTGGTACGATTTGCAGCTTCTGTTGTGTGTTAAAATACTACTTTGGGTGTCCGCGCGGCACCCCTCCACCTTTTCGGCAAGCACAACGTCTTCTACCTATTCCCCTGCAAAGACGCCTTGCTTTCTATAGTTCAACATTTTCACGCTGAAATGGGGTAGCATGAGCGAAAGTGGGCAGCATCCGAGAAAGCAGGAACATAATGGAAGTAGAAAAAATTATTTTTGGTGCGCCAAGCGCAGTCACTGCATACGCGCTCGCAACCCTAGATTATTGAAATTGAGGAGATGAAGATCAGTTGCAGTCAAAAAATGAAAATATGAAAGAGTTTCTTAAAGAAAAATTGGAAGCAAGGTGATCATCCCGCTTGATCCCCTCTTGTGCATTAGAGGGTTTACTCCCCCCCCCCCCCCACAGGGGATCCCTTGTCCGATATTGTCCTTGTGCATACGGGAGTTCGCGTGGGGAGGGGAGGGGATCCCCAGCTGGGATCATTTAAATGGTAAAACGCACATCCCCTCCCCGCCGGGGAGGGGATGTGCGTTGTGATGATGCCGTATGCACAAGGACAATATCGGACAAGGGATCCCCTGTGGGGGGGGGGGGAAGTAAACCCTCTAATGCACAAGAGGGGATCAAGCGGGATGATCACCTTGCTTCCAACTTTTCTTTAAGAAACTCTTTCATATTTTCATTTTTTGACTGCAACTGATCTTCATCTCCTCAATTTCAATAATTAGGGTTGCGAGCGCGTATGCAGTGACTGCGCTCGGCGCACCAAAAATAATTTTTTCTACTTCCATTATGTTCCTGCTTTCTCGGATGCTGCCCACTTTCGCTCATGCTACCCCATTTCAGCGTGATCGAAAGACACAAGTCCAAAACTGGGCTTCAAATGCCCAAAACTGCCAAAAGTCTGCCCCTCATACTATGACTAAGCTTTCGACACTTGTGCACTCATCTGAACCTAATTTTGAACTTCAAACGCCTACGTTGATGGGCGGAACGACCTCCTCCGCTTCTACCATATAAAGCGAATGAATTCTCACCTTCAGATTCAATCTGCGCAAGATTTGGGCATTTACTTAGCTAGAGTTAGGTGTCACAAAAGAACAAATAGAGCAAATGCTGACTGCCAGCTGACTCGATAAACAAAGCTGTGAAGACTGGTGGACGATACGTGATGCGCAGTCAGCGGGATGCATCAGAATGTCAACAGAAGTTCAACAGTGGGCAACAGATTGTGACCAGAAGGAACGCGAACCATCGCCATACGGCTACAGTTCAAACATGTTCTCATCTTACACTAAACACCAGCTATAAGCAGATGTGTGGACAATATGAAAAATGTGGTAAGCAAGAGATGCGTAGATGGAGATAAAAAGGTAAATTTTTCTTTCAAAAAAGCTCAGTCGACTAGAACTTCTAAATGTAGCCTCAGTTGCCTAATTACACAAAAAAAGAAAAAACTCCATCACTCTCACTCACAAAAAAGTCTTCAACAAAACCGCAGTTACTCTCGTACCATCAACTTAAAAGTCTTATTCCGCTCAAAAGTCTTGAAAAATTTGTAGACGATGGCGGTTGAGCTTGCCTGGTTGGAAAATACTTGTGCGAATTTGGCAAAAAAAGTGCCAGTCATTCTCGCATTTTCGATGCTTACAATTAGATCCAAGTTTCATACTCATCTAGCAATACAAAATTTATGTGAACACAATCTCTTTTATTAGTTTTCTCAGAAACTCTATAAAGATCCATGAAAAGATAAACAACGCTATTTCGTAAACTGACTGTTATTAGTCGACGTATTCCACTTCATCTAATGTCGAAGAAAGGGTGCCAATGAAATTGACCATTAGTATACTGACAATTCAAAGTCCATATATTTCAAATCAGAACTTGCGCATGGCAAATTGCTAGAAAATCGCCCATTTTCTTCGAATCTCCAAATGACTAATCTATCCACTTCAGCTCCCAAATCGATGCATAAGTTGGAATCCCGCAGAAAAGGTCGACAGCGGACAAAAGGCATTGCTAAGCAATTAGTCCCACGGGCACTTGAGGAGCTAATTAGCACAAGGCAACCTACTCTCCTGGAACAAAAAGTATCCCAGATGGACCGTATCAGATGGTGCACGTATTCGAATAGTGAGAACTGTCTACCGATCGAAAAGGTGTGATTGATCACTGAATGATTTACACGGCCAGTTAGAGGCCAAACTTCGAGCGTAAACCAGACCCTGATGAACATAAGGCCATATATTGTCGAAGTTTTGATAATTTGTGATAAGAACGAATAACTGGCACACACGCATTTATCTAGGTAAATTATTGGACCGCATTCTTTCGATTCTTCAAGAATGTGTTGAAAGCAAGAGCAGTAGGATGTGCAAATGAGAGAACAAGTACGGAGATTACTCCAAATAATTTCCACACACTCGATAGACGACCGAAATTGGATATTTCCATGGAGAGATTCCACTCAAAAATCTTCGAAAGATGGGAAGAATTCCAAAAAAGCAACAAAACGGGACATTTTTTGCATAGAGTGCTTGGGAGAAAAGAGAAGATTTGAACGAGACCAAAATACAGAAAGGGAAGCAGACGAAATCTGAGACAGGTGAAAGATGAACCGAGCAGAATGCATTCAGTCTGAGAGCAAAAAAAAGATCTCAGAGAAAAAACATTTCCTCTAGCTGAACAGACAAAAGGAAAAGAAAGGAGAACGACAAAAAAAGAAAAAAAGGAAGAACTGCAACACTAACCTTCAAGGCTTTCTTCTGCCGTAAAAGTACCAGTAAGGTATCGATGTACTAATGATGTTTTGCCAGATGATGTCGTACCAACAACGCCCTGGAACAAGAAGAATTAAAGGCTAGAGAAGCGATAAACTTTAGCAAAAGCTTCATCAAATGCTCTGTCATCTGAAATACTTCGGTAATATGAAAAGTCGATAAAGCAGAGCAAACGCGGTAAGTTTGAGAGCGTAGAATGCATAAAGTCGGGATAAAACAGGAACAAGGATGTGATTTTATTGAAAACAATGATATAGTGGTTTTACAGAAGTGAGATGATCAAAAGAAACGACTACCAGACGACGACTAACAAAACTAAAAGGAAAACGATAAGTGAGACTGACGGTATTTCGAAATCCTTTTCTCCGCGGTGCTTGGTTTCGAATGAGCGCGAAGATTACTTGGAGCGCGCTATCGGGCGTGTTAAAACATGCGCTCGCGCGTCGGGGCAAAATCGCAGTAAAATCCGGTCAAAACTAAATTCATGTCTCCCGCCGGTGCACCGGGTTTTGGTGCGATCAGCCATTTTGTGGGCGGTCCACCTGCGGGTGACAACGGCGAATGTCTGAGATGTATCACAAACCGCCTCTTGTATCATAAACCGCCCTTGAGGACGAGTGCTCACGAAGCAGGAGCTCATGTATCAATCACACGATCGTGAGATCGTGTGCTCGCTAGCGTTGAAAACATGCCCAAGATCAGGTGCGAGCACACGATCTCGCGCTGTATGAAGCACATGATCTTGCCACAAGATCGTGTAGCAGCGCACGATCTGTCGAGATCGTGCGCTGCTCGGCGACAGATCGTGTGCTCCCCATGTAGACGTGTGAAAGTCCATGGTGTCGCTACGTCCAATGTTTTCCGCAGCCATTTGTGCACAGGTTCGGACGTGCGCGTTACTCGGCGTCTCCCATATCATTTCTAGCGTGTGTATGCTTCGTGAAATAATTGAGAACTCAACGGCCACGTTTCCTACTCGTTCTTTCAAGTGAAAACAATCGATTACGACGTGTTTCATTCAGTTGTTAACTAGGAAAAACGAGTAGGAAACGTGGTCGTTGAGTTCTCAGTTTTTCATCACCTTCACTTTTCATAGCACAATCGCTCTAGTCAGTTGTCTTTCGCTTCTGTCTTCAGTACAATTCTACAATTCTTCGTTTTAGTTGATCAACGTTCATCAATCAATCAACGCCAGATAAACAGCAAGGTTTGAGAGACTGGGATTTACATAGTATATGATGCAATACAATACAGCGAATCGACACGTATCTTCTACATAATCACTGATACTCTCCATTGGCAGTAGGAAAACGTCTTCGGTAGAAGAGCTGTTCTGTGGATATTTTCTTTTTTCGTTGGCGATTTGCAGTTCCAACTTTTGTTTCTCAAGCTCAGCATTTGCAAGATTCGCCTCTGCCGTCTTTAGTTGAATCTTAATCAAGCGTGCAAAGTTTTGCTCAATTTTTATTTTTAAGAGGAGATATTCATATTCAAGTGATTTCTTGTCATTTACCCTGAAATGAAATATCTGTTCGATTATGTTCTATCATTCATTCATTTACTTTGATTTTCAAAGTGACATTACGGTTGGACAATGACACACGAGTGCGTCGAAAAAATAACATTTGTAATTTGTTGTTTTTGACTTACCTGTTCATGGTAATATTGCCTGTGACTTGATTGTTGTTTTTAGAAATTGCGGAAGATCGCGTAGGAGTAGAACAGAAGCTTTTCTGAAAAAAGTCTTCGTTTGATGATGATGTTTTCTAAGAGTTTACAAGAAATTCATGCAACTAGATTAGCATAGCTGTTTCACCGTGATTAGGCTAACTTGGATAAGCCAACCTGATTTGCTTTTCCGGCGGAGCAGACTCCAATTGGATTACGAAGTGCTTTCACTCTTGGCTTGGATCCTATCTTCTCCATTACGGTTGCTACATGGGGGGGGGGGTACGTTGAGTTTTCGGGTAACTCCTCCGCCAGTTTTGTTGGCTTCTTCACGTTAACAAAAGTGTCCTTTGCTAATGATGCGATACTTTCGGATTCATTGAGATCGGCGACTAGAGTTTGAGGCTCTAGGATTCGGGTTGGTTTCAGGACCGTGTTCTCTAATCATTGTCGAGGTTTCGCCAACCGAAGCTCCGCCTTCCACGCACTACCCCCAACGAATCAGAGGGTAGACGTTTGTTACCTGACGTGCGGTATACTTTTTTACATTTCGCAACGTATCGCGGATTCGCTGATCCAGTTGAGATGTGGTCCGTTCAGGATATCCCGCGGCTACAAGTTGCCGACCAAGCTCGAGGAGTTTCGATTTTTTTCCTAGAAGAATAATATCATCCGTGAAGAATGCGAAAAGACGACAAACGCACCCTGACAGACGGATGGCGACTTGATCCTGTTAAGGCAGCGTGAAAAGATTCATAATTATCACAATAAAACACGCTTATTACACACAGTTCTTCGGTGCTCATTGTGGGTGCGCGCTTGTTTGGATGCGCTGCACTATTTCCAACCTGTTGTTCATACGCCACGACCTGCATTCCGATAGCTACAATCAGTGAGTTGACTCGCAGACTACTATTGCTGATGATAAACATTATGCTTACAGTGAGGCGAGATAATGCAATACTCAGATTTTGAAGGAAGTGTCTATCTTGGATCATTTGCATGTGAACGACGGAGGCTGATAGGTTTAAGAGTAAACTTGCAGCGACTTTGAATGAACAGGAAGAAGTTAGTTCTCTTGGTCTTTGCTAATATCTCATACTGATGTGAATTATTGGTTACATGGTTTATGGCATTGAAGTCATTGCTTACATAGGTTACGCGTGGGATAATGAGATGTGCGAAAATGCCATTTTGGTAACAGTATTGGACTACGTAGGACACCTAGTCATGTCAAGTAAGTATATACTACCTACTTTTGATAGCCATTTTTTCCATAATTTTCCTTCACACATTGGCAATTTTGGCGCTGTTGCTCATTGTATGTCATGTATCGTATAGAAGTGCAAGCATACCTTCGATAGTCCAGAGACAGGGCGTCAAAAGTGAAGGTTGTTTGAACATCTGACGTCATAAATAGTGAAGGTCGTTTAAAGAAGATCAGAGAAGAGAATATGACGTAAAACAGATATAAAAAGCAAAAGAAACGGTTGAAAACCGGATAAAAACGCTGCAAAGAGGTCTGAAATCTTTCATTCGGCGACTTTTCGAAGTGCAAGTTTTCGCTCCAGGACCAGCAATTCGCAAAACGGGGTTTTGATTCTTGATGCATCCTTTGAATTTTTACCCCCGCAACGACGTTCCTGTTTCCTGGGACGTTGCCTGGATTGTTGCGCTTATTGTTCTGAGCAATAATTGCCCAAGCTGGAAAACAATCGATGCGAAAGCACTGAAAGAGAACAAGGTAAAGAAAAACGCACTTTTTACGATTTTTCGCAAAAAATTCCAACATAATCGAAGAGGTAAGGGCTGGGTGGTTGTCTGCATTATGAACAGAAGCGAGATCTACAGAATGCACGAAAAAACCGCATGAAAATAGTTAAACTAGGAGAAAAACAAGAGATTTTCGAAAACAAGGTTTTTGCCGGATTTCTCGATCAAATCAAAAAATGTTGTTCCGGGACGTTGTCAGCGTGAAAATAGAGATCAAGAGCTTCAAAATGATATATAGGTATAGCTTGCTAAAATTGGGTTCGAAACAGCGAAGAAAAGGGTACCAGAGCCAAATGCCCCGCGCCCCGCGTTTGAGGTAGCGAGGTAGCGCGCAACGCGCGGAGACGCAGACGAGCAGCGGAGACAGACCAGAGCCGACGGGGCATTTGGCTCTGGTCGTAGATCTCCGCGGGGTCTCAACGAAACCCTGCAACATTACATATCATTCTGATCGTCATGACACGACGAGGAGAACTGACAACGTCCCAAGCTATGAAAATCACTCATTAACGAGATAGACCAGCGTTTTCGTGCGCGATTCTCTGCGCAAGACTGAAGCGCAGTTTCTTGTTTCTATTCAACTCCAATAGCTTTTCTAAACTTCTGAAACTCGATTTTGTTGAAATGAGAGGATAACTGAGAAATTTTGTCTTGATTTCTGGCGAAAATTCCACAGAAACCTTCTTTTTAAGGTAAAAAAGGCTATGAAAACGCAAATTCTCGGTTTCGCTCAGATAAGCTATAGATATTATTCCCTGTATTTGCTTCATTGACATTCGTTCCGATATAGTCAGGATAATAACATCCGGAGCGAAGCCCCGGATGACTTCTGTTTTTTCCAAGTGAAGGTTGTGCCCCCCATAGCCCTCAAAGTGAAGATTACCAGAGTACGTGGCTCCATGTATCGAGTTATGAGTGCAAGCGTTATTAGAATTATTTTATCTTACAAGGGAAGCATACTTGATCGAAGTGGAGTTTCGGCTTGACTTGTATACTATCTTATAGATCATGGAGCGCTAATCCCCAAATTGCTTTTGGTAAACGCAAACCGCTTCTGAGAGGGGAATTATGAATATCTTTTGAGGACGAAATTCAAGGGTTTCGCTTAGGTAGAAAATTATTGAGGTCTTTTCGACACTTCAAAAGAGTAATGACTGGCATAACTTACAGGGAAGCGTTTTTAGTCAAAGTGGTTTTTTCAAATAGGACCTATACTGCTCTGAAGGCCATTGCACACTGATTCCAAATGTGCCTTCATAATTCGCCAAGCGACTTTGTACACCGAGTTATGAGCGCTTTTTGGGTCGAAAAAGTGAACGCAAAATTCGAAGAAAACAATGTTTTTTTTTTCAAGTGATCTAGTGTCGAGTATCAGAGCATTTCATTTACTAGGTACCTTCTGTTTAATACACTCATATTCAAACAAGCTCTACTTGAACGCAAGAAAGATAGCAACAACTAAATTTACCTAAATCCTGCCACTTTTCATTTCAAGAAGCGCTCATAACTTGACGTCCATAGGCCATTGGCAGATATTGAAGGCAGATTTGGAATATATGTACAATGGCCTCCAAAGTGGTATGGTCTCATCTGGAAAGGCCACCTCCCGAATAAACAGCTTCCCTTGTACATGCTGAAGGTATATATACATAAAGTGGCCTGGCAAGAATCATGGCCTCATTTGAGCTCACGGATCACAGGTCTGAATGATTTTGTTGCAGCGACGCATTTGAATTTTTGCTTCCAAAAACCCCCTAACTCGTCTCCCACAAGCGCTTTGCAGATACCGAAAGCAGATTTGGATTCAGCGTTCCATGCTTTATAAGATAGAGTTTAAGTCATGTGAAAATCAACTTTGGCCAAGTACCCCACTTTGCTAGTCTTCGACTTTCTTATAACTCTAACAGCCCCACATATTTTCTTAGATAACAGTACTCTGCGTGCTTACAATAGTATAAGGCGCAGCAAATTTCAGCCGTATCTAAGGTGCGCTTACGGCCAACAGAAACTCGAAAAGATTTCATGGATGATCTCGAGATGCGTGCGAAAAGAGCGACCTTGCCAAGTGTGATGACCAGGGTTGAGCGTGGGGTCAGGCGCGCCCGACCTGGGGGATCGTATGAGGGTAAGACTGAGGAGAGGGGGGGGGTCGTAATTAAGAATCGAATTTGTTAAATTGGGGAGATACTGCGAGGGTGAAGATGACATGCGCTAGTCCGGTGAATTTCGCGATCACATGAAGGAATCACAGGATCACATGACGGTTATAAACAGCATACTGATTGTTTCCACAATGAAACTTTCAGCCAAATTTCAAGTCTTCATCTCTTTTACCTTGGCATATGAGGTCGACAAGGAAGCTTGCTGTGTGAAATGGGTATTATTTCCACAATCAGCATGTCAAATTAAATACCTTTATGCGCTCTACAAACCATTACCTACTGCAGTTTCTAGTGTTTCTCAACGCCTAAAAAGCGTGATTTCCAAACGTGATTAACTTGGTTTTAGAAGCGAGAAAAGTCAGCTTTTGTATAGTTATAACAAAATAATGTTCTCTACAAGTCTATGCTACAAAGGGGGCTTCATTTCGCTTTCAAACAGTGAAGTAAGAAGTGCTGGGCGCGTCTTTCCGTTGAGTGCTTCAACTCCTCGGATTAGCACAAGGTCGAATTAAGCCGAATCAAGCTCAAACACTTGCTGTAGAATCTTCGAGGATTGAGCTAGCAAATCACATAAAATTTGGGTAAAAAAGCTTTTTCGGAAATAAAGTTAATGGGGTCAGGCGCAACCGCTCAAAAGGTCAGGCCGCCTGAGGTTTTGAGGGGTTGCGCCTGACCCTCTTAACTTGCCTTCAAAATTCGAAAATCGCCCCTTTTTTGATATGAGTATTGAGCGCAAAGCCTCTTCTTGCTAATTTGAAAATTTCAAGCCAAACACTCCACCCCTGTAAAAATTATAGCTCTGAAAAGAGGGCTATCCAAAAGATCTAAAAGTTGCCGTCAAGTTGCGTGTAATTGTGCAATCGCAGAAAGTCGGGCCTACAGACTTTCAAAAAATAGAAACCTGCAGTGAAAGCTGGTCTTCTTCAAAATATAACACCCTGAGGACTTGAAGGTGAAGGGGAGGGTCGTATAGGGGTTTCACGGGGGGGGGGATCGTTTTTGAAGGACTTATGCCTGTCCTTTTGCTCAACCCTGGTGATGACTGCAAAATCGCCCTTAGCGAAAGCAAGTTTGAGCATTTACGGTGGAGAACACGAATGTCTTCACATCACACATTTGAACATATTGTCCAAGACTGCCTGTTTCTACTTACGGTAGAGAGAAGTATCAGGGCAGATTTGCGAACATACCTCAATACTTTACCTCAATTGCCACTCAAATCTCTCTTTAGAGAATACCTTTCCCTATTACGAGCAATGAACGACCATATGGAGCAATACTGGAAAGACATCAACCTAGCTGGTAATGAGGGTCCCAGTGGCATAAATTCATTTTGGTAAGCGTGACTCTTACTTTGATCCAACGCATATACTAGTTTTCTTTTGGAAAAACTTTGGTTATGAGAATTCTGACTGGAGTTCAGAATGCACAAATTTGGCGGAACATCGACGAAAGCTATGCGAATAGGGCATACCATTCGATGTGGTAAGCATCCATAGTTGAAACCAATCTTACGAATGCGAATTTTATTTCTTTGTTTTGAGATAAATGTCTCAAATGGCGGCATGTGGAGTATCACGCTCCATATGAGATTAACGGAATACCAGAAGACTGGTGCTGTGACAACCCATCCCAATAGTATGTTCCGAAGTTGCAACAGGGCCGAAGAAGTGCCAAAGGTACGTAACTTTTTCTCTTTTTTGGAGGTGAGCATGGTGGCTGAATTGTTATCACATGCAACAGGCTGCAGATTTTTCTTTCTCTACTACTCTATTTTCAGGTGTATAAGCCGCACCCTTTTCACTCTAAAGGCGAACACGCCAAAAGACTTACTGTCATCATGGAGCGCGTTAAGTGAGAGCAGTATGCGATAAGGCGACCGCTTCGCGAGAGGTAGGCGCGGCGGCACGCCTGGGTCTGCTCGCGTTTAGAGCAAAAAGGGTGCGGCTTATACACCTGAAAATAGGGTACTTCATTTAGTTTTGCTCTACATAATAGTATAATTAGGAAGAAAGCGGCAATTGTAGTTTACGTAATTGGATCATCTTGTGACATGACATTTATCTAATGATGTTCTGCATCAAATATAGACGTAACCATGTCAATCGTGCAAAAGCGCTTGGTTGGGTTCATCAGTGTGTTCACAGAATGAATGCTCTTGAATTACGTTCCGCTGCAAATCTCCATTCTAGGTGAAAGAAGGCAAACTCAATCGACAAAAATCTCTCTCCGGATCCACCTCTGAAGAACAGTTCATTTTCAGCGGTAGGCTAGAAGTTATCGCCTTGTACTTTTTCTCGGGGTTTGAAACAGGGCTCAGATGACATTCCAATGATTTATTTAGAACCGAAGCATGGACTGAAGGTCGGATTCCAGTAACAAAAGTATTCCTACTGCTACCACTAATGGAAGTGGAGCATCTCGTCGAGCTATGCAAGCATCTCCTGTGTCATCATCATTGTCAAGGAGTAGCAGAGAGGTTAGCATTGGTAGCATTAGCATTGTTTTTTTTTCCTTCACAAAAAAAACTTTTGGATTTTTCAGGTGCAAAGAATATCAAGTCCTGTTCCATCCAAGCAGCTTAAAAGGTCGACACGCGTTGCGCAACGAAAAGAAGCGATGAGCAGCGACTCGGAAGAGTCGAGCCCAGAAAGACCACCTCCTAGAAAGCCACCAACCAAGACACTGACCCCCAATTTGGCCGTGAAGGCTGCGGATCGCGTCAGTGCTTGGGGAAGCTACCTACGAAATGAGCAGCTCCTCTTGCGCCGAAACGTCGAATTGCATCAAGCGATGAAAGCGATGAGGAAGAAGTATATGTACCTCCTGATCCGCCGAAAAAGCCGAAAACGAAAGCTGACTTGCGAAAGCAATACGAAGGGGTTGAAAAGAAAAGCGAAGTCGACACGAAGAAGCCTGTCACATTTGATCCCAAGAAACCTTCGCCTACGTTCGCTGACAGTATGTTCAGTTCAATGTTAATCTCGAAACATATATTTTACTCATTTCTTTTTTGGGAGGGAAACATATCTGCTTCTTTTTCGTATAGTTACATCGCAAACGAAGAAGTTATTGCATCAGTTTGATCCTCCTCTATTTGGAATAATACTCTTTATATGTTTCTGGAATTTCGTAGTTTTTTTCATAATCTTGAAAGGAAAAAACGAAGGTAGGGAGTGGAGAAAGCTAGTAATACTAATCTGAGGTACATTCCTACATTTGAGCTATCCTTCGTGAAGAAACGAAGAAGGCGACAAACTTAATGGATTCTAAACATTAGTACGCCCATTGCACCTCGTTATCATATCATGTTGGAATCCACGTTTGCGCAATACTAATCGCGAAAATATCGGAGAAGACCGGTGTTATGCAAAATTTTCACTGGTATGACTCCGTGCTATACTTTAGTTTCCTTTAAAGGCACCTCCACCCAGATTTTCGAATTCCACGTTTTTGTCGTTCCAGGGCCTTCTCATCTCCCTGATTCCGAATATGAAGTCGAGAATGCTCGAAAATCCCGAACGCATTCCGGAAAGCCCACAGGCCGGCTTTCCAGAACGGTCATTGGATGAGCGCTCACAAATGGGCGGGCATGAATGGGGGTCCTCGTGCTCGCTATTCCGAAGCGATTTTCTCGCTTCCAAAGCGGCATTTTGCGCCTCAACTTGGGCATTGGATTGATAGAGGGCCCTACTATTACATGCTGCCAAAAGCTCAACATCCTCAACTTAGGGTGGACGGTGCCTTTAATTTGTCACTTGGCGTCGCATACACATAATTTGCTTAACTATACGAAAATCCTTTTTACCTACGCGACGCCAAATGACAAACTGCTGTGTGTGTGTCACGAAGCGAATCAAGCGGATCAAGTATGGCAGGTGCCTAACACATAGAAGTGAAACGAAAAGCTGCGGTTCAAGGGTAATTTGCAATTTTACCAGAGATTAACGAAACACAAATGTGCAAATTAACTACACTTCCAGTTCTGCAAACTAGATACGGCTGAATCGAGTACATCAATAGCTATATATTCAGCAAAACACCAGCTGTTGATTCAGGAGTATACGAGGATGCCAATTTAGAGGGCACAATAAGGTGATGCGCATCATTTTACACGATTACATGGATTGTCATGTTAGTAAGGACACTTATCAACTCTCAGAGGGGTTACTCTTCAAAGGAAATTATGAGTCATATACAGAAACCTATAAATGCTCGCGTGATGCATGTTGCTATTTTGGACGCTGTGCTGTATTCTGCATATTTTTCAAAGGAGTGGAAGAGAAGTTTGAAAGAGGAGTGGGTGTAAATACTCGATAACTAAGGACTGAGGTCAGACAAGGTCGACGCAGCACCCACATGCTTCGCCAGAGAATCGCTGAGTCATCGCCCGCGTCGCCAGTGATCGCAGCAATTGGCGATGGTGAGCGTACGGTTTATCGAATTCAACAGTTGTGAGTCCATTGCATGCCAATCATTTTGCATTTCGGCTGAGAAAATTAGCGATTTATTGTGTCAGAAAACTATCATAACCAAGATGCAAAATGATTGTCATGCGATGGACTCACACTGTTGTGTGGTTTGAATGGCGAGGCGATGAAATCGCTTGAACTCTGCCCGAGGTCTAAGAGTCAAGCCTCACACCACCTGTACCCCTGACTTCGAGTACAACAATACTCCATTGAATTCGCCTACCATTTCCTTGTGAAAGTTTAGAACATTTTGGAAAGAAATTGTCGCATGAAGTTTTTTCGGATACCCCACATATGAGTGGCCCAAGTAGAAGTGCTCCCAAGGCACCAGCGAACATGAAAAGCATTATGCACCACTGCAGATCATATGACATAGGAAGCCAGTCGGGAAAAAGACTATGAACAACGTGAAAAGAGAGCAGGAAGTTCATTTTTGATGATAAGCACATGGACAGAGGCCGGACATGTAGCAAACAAATGATTTTGTTAAACGCACAGAAAACTAAAAAGTATCAAACAAATGATTTCGTTAGAATACACAAAAAACCAAAAACAGAAATTACAACAAACCTGAGATTGATGGGTTGCAATCGAACACGACGCTTGAGGTGTTCATGATTTTACAGTGCACAAGGCTTTCTTATCCTCTCGCTATCGCAAAGGAAAATTCCTGAATTTTCCGATATAATTTTCTTTGGTGCACCGTGAGTGTAAACTAAAATAAAATAAAATAAAATAAAATATAAATTATGTAGACTTTTTTCGAAAAACAGTCGAGAAGTCGTGTGCAAATGAACTTGACTGTAAAAAATTCGTCTTTATACAACGTGTAGAACTAAGTGTATAGCTTCATAGATCACAATTAGAATTCATGCATTACATGGGAATGATTTTGTTCTATATCGAAGGACACATTTCTTTCATGAAATACTCTCGCTCCATTCACAAACATCGAGTAGCGTTGAAAGAAGAGCAATAGTTTTTAGAATTGCCTTCAAAAAGGGTGCCTTTCTCATGCGTAATACATTGCAACGCTGCGAAGATTTCATTTACTCGATTTTAACGGTTATTATGTGCATAAACCAAAACGAGTGCATAAAGAAACCATAACATTGAAGAGAAAGGTCTTTTCATGGGCATCACCAGCGAGTATTATTTTATTTGCATCCGCATATTCCTCTCGTATTACTTTTTGTATTATACGTACCACCGTCTTAGTCTTAATGCACTCCTAATTCCAATATATTTAGAGACGAAGGCTTCCTCGTAACGCAAATGTGAGCGAAAAGTATGCTAAGTGATAATGCATAAAAGGAGTGAGAAACATTTGATTAGCACCAATGTGATCGTGCAAAACTTGCAGCTAGAACAATACAAATTGATAGAAAAACCCTGGCGATACAAAAACATGGGCGACACAAGAAAAAATGACGAAATTCGACGCGAAAAGAGGCATTACACTCGAAGTATTGCGGGAAATGAATGTACGGCGTCACTTTGCGTTGACGCCAGCACGGTCACTCGCTATGCGCCAGTCCGGGTTCCCTGGCGCACACGGTCACCGCACATCGTGTAATTACACGATCTTGCGCACACATTGATACATCGCGGACGCCTCGGCAGATCGTGTGCTGGTTCAAGATCGTGTAATTGCCAGATCTTGAACCAGCACACGATCCTGACAATGAGATTGATACATAGCACTCCTGGATCTGCAGCTGCACCCATGCAGTTGCGGCGGAAGACGGTCTTTTCGCACGGGCGGTCTCCAACGCCGCCCTGATTTTGACTTGTCTAACAAGTCAAGCACGCCGCAAGTCTTTCCTCCCGGTCACGAAAAGGCCCCAGAATGACAAAAGCATGGGAGCCAAGATTTTGGGTGACGCTGCCTCTAAGGGAAGTCTACTTTCTCTGTTATCATAGAGTATAAAAAGCCATATCGACTGGATCCTATTGCAACTTTTTTTCTCTATTGAGTTTTTCGTTTTCTAACATTTTCGAAAATAACCCTACTTACAGGGAATGTTTAGTAGAAGTGGCCTTTTTAGATGGGATGTATTTCATACTGCAAGGCTTAAAATGCAAATTCCGCTGCATTTCTATCTGCAGAACATTTATAGACCAGGTGTTATAAGCGCTTACTGGAGCAAAAACAAATGTGCAATTAGGACGCAAATAGCCCTGATACTTTTTTAGTTCTTCGATGGAGCCGTGATAATTACCAAAGCACTTTATCCAAAGATCCTAAAATAGAAGATATATCACACTTGGTAGCATTATTTTAGGGCTAGTTTTAGCTACTCATTTTATCCAAAATGCACGTTCAATTTTTGGCTCTAAAAACCCTCATAACTCCTTGTTCATAAACATTCTGCAGATAAGGAAGGCAGATTTGAAATCAGCATTTTATTTGGAAAGGCCACTTCGACTAATTAAGCTTTCCTTGTTAGATAACATTGATCGACACAAATCTGCTGATTTCCACTAGGTCAGACCTCGTGGCGTTCTGAAACTTATTGCAAGCTTCGAACTCTTCGGCAACTCAATTTCATCTCTTCCGCGCAGTCTGGCCTAAGGGCCTTCAATACCATTTGCAAAAAGCCGCCTTGAAGCTCGTACGAAGCGCATTCTTCTTCTTCTTTTTGCAAATGGTATTGAAGCATGCAAAGCGGTTGAGATTTCAAGAAGCCATGATTTATTAAGAAAGGGCAAAAAAAAAACTTTTGCCAACCTATATGAAGACTAGCACCCCACGGGTCGCTAGTAAGGGGGTTGGGGCAGATACATTGATAAATGTCTGCATGCAAGAATAGCCAGAAACTAATTTCCCACTTTTTCCATCTTTGGCGCAATGTAATTAGCAGTAGAAGCAATAGCATACCCTTAAGGAAACTTTTGATAATGAGCAATTACCAAATCATTTACGCTGTTCTTTTTGCAAATATCCTACCCTAGATACCACAGCTAAACTTGGAAATCTCCTAAGCAGTCATCCATGTAGAAGCGATGATTCAACCCAAAATTCAGGTTGAACTTCAGAAACTGTGCAACGCCGCAAACATATGACCTTATCATGTACAGTCTTACAACTTCTTTCTCGCAAAATCATTTCTTAAAGCGAGACCAAAGCTCTTAAAGCTTTTCCCTAAACAGTCTCAGCAAAAATGTCCTGCCGCATGAAGCCCTTGGGTCTTCCTTCCGCCAAGACCAAGCTCCCCTTGCTTCTTGCTTTTAGGGCAGAAGTATGAGTTTCGCGAAGTAGGAGCTGTAGCCTTGGAAACAAGGAATACTCAGCAAAAAAGTCTTTAGGTAGCGACCCTACGGGTCGCTAGTAAGTAGGTTGGGGCAGATACATTGATAACTGTCGCGTACAGCTAAGAAAAGCAGGGAACTGAATTTCCTTCTCAACGATCTTTGGCGCAATGTAGTAGTAATGAGAATGGCGCAATGTAGTATTAATATAGAAGCAAGATCATACTCTCAAAAAAGGTAAATCTTTCTTAGCGGCTTTCACCAAATTTCGTAAAAGTATCCCCGAGCGAAAACGTAGGGCTCTGCATGATCGCGAAGATGGGTAAATTCACCATTGCATATGACTGAATTCTCTCAGTTCTCTTATTTCATTCAGGCGTTTTTCTGCAATCGTTAGCTTTCGATTACCTGTAACGTTTCTGAGAAATATGGGGGTTGTTTGCCCAGATGAGGGCCCTATGGGATTTTTCTCAAGCACTGGCCGCAAACAGACGACCTTCGCGACCATGCACAGCTCTATACTTTGATAATGTCTCCAAGGAATGCATGGAGTCATTTCTTACAGCGAGACTAAAACTCGCTCAAGCATAATCTGGCAAAAAGGTCCTGCTGTGTAAGCCCATGGCTCTATCCTTCTTTTGATACCAAGCCCCCTTTGCTTTTTTGTTCTTAGGAGCAGCAGTACAATATTTGTGAAGTATGAGCGGACGAAAGTGGATTAAGCACGTTTTTTGATGCAATTTAGCATCTGAAGCTAGAAATTTATAGCAAAAATATCCCGCGGGATGGACTCACTGAGTCTTTTCTTCTCTCGAGACGAAGCTCCCTTTGCTTTTAAAGCTTTCAGGAGAGAAGTTCAGTTTCCGCGAGGAGCGGCCAAAAGTGAATTTTGAACGAGTTTTACTGCAATAAAACCAAGAAAATCTTAGAAAATGTCCTGCTGCATAAAACTCATGGGTCTCTCCTTCCTTCGAGACCATGCTCTTTGCTTATTTGCTTCTTGGAGCAGAAGTATAATATTCGCAAGTAGGAGCTTTAACCTTGAAAACAAGGAATTCTTAGCAAAAATGTCCTGCGGCAGTAGCGTCCCAACGGGTCGCTATTAAGTGGGTTTGGGTAGATACATCGATAACTGTCGCGTGCAACTAAGAACAGCAAGGAACTGAAATTCCATTTTCTCCTCAACGATCTTTGGCGCAGCGTAAGTAGTAGTAGAAGCAAGATCAGACTCTCAAGAAAAAACTTTTGACAACTGGTCAATTCCAAATTAACTACGCTTTCCTTCTTGCAAATACCCTACCCTAGATACCATAGCTCCTGAACATGAGAATCACCTCAGCAGTCAACTATGTAGAACAGCTAATTCACCCCGAAACTCAGGCTCACACACAGGAACTGTGCAACTGCAAATACACCGACCTTCGCGATCATGCACAGTCCTTACTTCCCTTATGATCTCTCGCCAAGGAAAGGTCATTCCTTAAAGCGAAACCAAAGCTTGCTCAAAGCTTTTCCTGGACAAACAAAAATGTCCTGCCGCATGAAGCCTCTGGGTATTCCTTTCCCCAAGGCCAAGCTCTCCTTGCTTCTTCCGCTCTTAGAAGCAGAAGTACGATTTCTGCGAAGTAGAAGCGGCCAAAAGTGGATTTCAAGCGAGCTTTTGTATAATTTAGCATTAATCAGATTGAAATGCACTGCCGTACAAAGCCCTTAGAGCTTCTCTCCCTTCGAGACCAAGCTTGGTTTGCTTTCTTTGCTTTTCAAAGCAGAATTATGATTTTCGCAAAGCAGAAGGGCCAAAGGTGATTTCAAGCAAATCCTTGTGAGTTTCAGCGCTGAAACCTGAAAATTCATTCAAAAATGTCCTGCCGCATGCACTCACTGAGTCTTTTCTTCCCTTGAGACGAGCTCCCTCTCTGCTCTATTGTTTTTATTCATAAAGTAGAAGCAGCCAAAAACTAATGTTCAGCAGTTTCCGTGAAATTTGACATCGAAGTCTAGATGACAAAAATGTGTTCTCATGTGGAGTCTTTAAGCCTTTCCTTCCATCAGACCGAGCTCCCTTTGCTCAATTGCCTTCAAAGGCAAAAACAATTTCACGATGTAGAAGCATCCAAAAGTAAGTTTTTAGCAGCTTGTGGTATTCAGCATTAAATCCTAAAAATTTAGCAAGATGTACTTCCGCATGAAATAACTGTTTCTTTTCCTCCAACAAAACGTAACTTCCTCGGTTTTTTTTGCTTCCAGAGGCGAAAGCAATATTTTCGCAAAGTAAAAGCGCCCAAAAGTGAGGTTTCAGCGAATTCCCGTGAAATTGATAGATTATATCATCCCATTTTCAAATAACCTACATATTGCTTCTAAAATCATGACTTTTCAAAAACTAATTCTAATTGTAAAGCACTAGGCAGGATAGGAAGCAAAAGCGGCAGTTTTCCAAGTTATGATAGCAACGGGGGCCAGCCATTTGCATTATTTGGCAGTCTGGAATCAGTGTTTCTCAACCGTTGTTGCTTGAGCTATGTACATGACGCGCACTTGATAACCTCTTTGGTTGTTTGTGAATGAGGAGGTGATCTTCGACGACTGTTGCCGACATTACCCATATTTGCACTTTCCATGCGGAGCAAGCTCTATAATCTGCACTTAAGGTGCACACAGTCTGGAAACTAACTAAGAACGCCGGCACTCTACGTCGCTGTTATGCAAACCATATGGATCCTTATTGAGTGCATGCGCCCACCATTACTCTCGGCAAGGCGGGGCGTTTCTCCACACATTCTTGTTAATTCATGTATCCCAGTTATATTCCGTGTGGCACATAATCTGGACTACCCTGGACATCGCGAATCTCCTCCCAACAATGGAGAGGACTTATAGCACAACAGTAAAGCATATGGGGGTGGAGAGTACTCCCGCCTTATCGCCTTAACAGATTCCAAAAGATATCATAGTAAAATGTGATCTATAAATTGGCGAGAAAGTTCTTGTGTAATTCAAACAAAATTCAATAACTTATCAAATACTGAATTTAACAGATCATAGTTTAGTTCAGTTCAAGTTCCTTGTTCGACATCCCAAAAATTGTAGAAGGTTCGCGCTCCATAACAAATGTTTAAGCGTGACATTCCATGAGTTAGCCACCGAAAACGAAGCTTTCAAAAGTGGCTTTTAATTCTGCGATCTCGAGTTCAAAGAATAAAAAGATAGAGGATTCGGCGTCTTTTATACCCTCTGCTGGCATGTGCCGAACACACACTACTTTATAGTCGAAGAAGCACTTGTATGCGTGCAACTATACACTGACTTGCGGGAGCCAACCGTTTACCAAGTCATTGCTTTTATCCTACCAGAATTACTCTGGTACTGATTTCGAGTTTGGTACTAGGAATTCGCGGAGGGCCGATAGTTAGTCCAAACTACTTTAATAGTTAAGTCCATAAGTTACTGTAGAGGCTTCAATCTTGTACGGTAACGCAAGAACAAAATATTTGTGAAGAATGTTATTTTACAGAAATGCGTTTCTGTGAAAAATTGCAGCGATAAAGGGGTTTATTATGTGAAACGGCGGCTTCCACAAAATTCACAGAACATCTATTTTGGAGCACAAAGCTTTTATCATTTTTGGGATACTAATTTATGACTTAGGTCTAAAATTTGAAAAATTTTTGAATTTTGTTAAAATATGCAAGAACTTTCGCGCCAACCTAATATACAACAATAACTCAATTATCTCTTAGTTTATAAATGGGTGTAGGACTATACGACGTCGGAAAGGGGTGGTCCCACGCGGACATCTGCTACAATGCGCGCAGCTCCTAACATCGCAGGCGCGCGAGCCTGTCGGCGACATATAGTCTTCTACATTTATAAATCGCAACTTTTTCCAAATGTACATGTGTTGCATGAGGTAGATATACATATACAGTACAGTAAGTACAGTATACAGACACGCAGCAGAAGCGGACAAAGGCGCAGATTTATCAAATTTCTCTCACCCATCTCATTGAGACTTACAAACATCGCATTTTCCTACAAATTATCAATTCATATTTTTCAAGAATGTGTAATTAGGACCGAGGCTTGTAGCGAAGCTGCCACTGCATAAGGGAGCGGACTTCATTCCATCATAGAGAGCATCGTTGCAGTAGCCACAAGTGTGTCGACAAACTCTCACTGCAAAGTCCGCATTCGCGCAACTGAAAAGGTAAATATCGTTCAAAGAATCTGTATGTCAATCAAAGATTGGAAGAGATTTTTCAAATGGTGCGAACGTTGATGGCCAAATTTTATTATTTATAGATTTGACGGTTTAGATCTTCGCCTGAGCACCAGGACTGGCAAATCGTTCTTTTCTTCATTCAGCACTCTTCGTGCAGTAACTGCTGTGTGTCGTCAATTTTTTTGGATATGATCAGAAAGATTTTTTCCAAAAATTTCACAATAAGTTGTGTTGTTGTAGTTTCAGAGAGACCAAACAATCTCGAAGTTATGGTTCCAGACTGGAGAAGTGCTACAAGATTTTAAGGAATTCTAGTTGATTCGCGGAAACTGCTCAAAGTCTCAGCTATATAACTCACAGAAGGATGAAGATAGTCAGAAAGAATGACCATTTTGATTGGTCCATGCAACCAATATGCGATATATTTGGCCCTCTCACTCAAATATTGAATCATCAAATTGAAACTTTCTGCTCTGCTTGGCACCTACTGTGAAGTTTGAACCATTATGACCAAAACTGTCTCACCTGAACTTGCCCAAACCAACTGCTTTGAACTTCCTGCAAAACTGCAAAGAATGCTTGTCTCGACAGAGTTTGGGAGCCTAAAAAAAATTTTTACACATGAGTTTGGTCTACCGTTCAGATAACTTACCTTTAACAATGAGCGGGAGTTGTCTGGATGAATGTTATCTGGAAAAATGCTATTTTGTTCTCTCATCTTGTCATTTCAAATAACTTACTGATTTCAATGTATTTCCTGCATTCTGCACAGCAACCTAGCGTGTGGAAATCATGATCGTTCAGACACCTGTACATAGTAAAATTGTGTGATTTGAATATGGTTTGTGATTTTTACCTCTTCTCGAATTGAGACGGGTGAGTCTCTCTGAGTGCCTGACACGACTGCTCCCCGAATCGGTCGCGACAGCATGGTAGGGAAGGGGTATCTAGAAAAGTTGTTGACAATCTCGGTTCGTATAAAACTTTGGGGATGGGGGGGGGGGGCAAAAAAGAATGTGAAGGTCGTTTTTCGTTGGCTGGTTTATCGATTTTTCCTTGAAGTATGCCGCGAATATGAACGGCTTGCAAAGTTCTGTCACTACTTGTGCTAAGCCTCACAATCAATACAGAAAAGATAGAGTTTGGGTAATTAATATCAGCCGAAAGAAAGAACTTATGCATTCTAAGTTTTTGAAAATTTAAAAGATAAATATTCCATATATTAGGTCAGAACATAAGTTTTTTATCACATAAAGAGGAAATCTTCATGATTTTCTCAATAAATTTTTCTCAACTATATAATTACGTGCTCTTGAAAACTCAACATCGAATCGCACAATTCCAGCTTGCATTATAGAAGAGCTCAGTTCCTCGAACTCTCTTTCTGTTAACACGATATCTGGCAATCCATATAATATAAAAAGACGAAAAAGAATATATATTGAGAGAGTTGTCAACAGATCAATGAAGAATGGAGTAAATTCCCCTATGATTGCTCTGGCTGTTATTCGTAAAGGTGAAGAAAGGCAATGATGGGTCTTTCGCTCCTTCCCCTATGTCCGAGGTTAGAATTTGCCAAAGTTTGTGTAGTTTTGAAAAAGTCCTTCATTGTACTCAGCAAAACCAGGTTTTGAGAATATGATTTTGGAAATATTCATAGAATATCTAGGAGCAGATGTTGGAATGTAGAAACTTGTGTGCAAACGGAAACATTGAGCAACGACCATCAAAATCTGGAAGTCTCTGTCGGGAATGTTCACGTTCATAACTAATCTCGGCAGGAGAAAAAATACAATTTTTCCTATTTACATGGCTTAATCTGAATGGAACATTCCGATTTTATGAAAGGAGCGCAAGTTTTTCCAATGATATTTAAACCATCCACTCTTATCGAATAGTTCCTGAGTGGCCAATACTCAAGGTCGAGCAGCGAATATTCCCAGATTCAAGAACGAATTGATTTTTTTTACATTGGCCACAAATTACGGGCCAAAAAAATAAGACTTGGCAAGTGCAATATACTGAAAAAGCTTTCGTGAACTATACTGCATTACAACATTTCAAATTCAACCCTACCATTAAATAATTCATTGGAGCTTTCTCTTTCTGAATTTTCTATACAGCGCAGCATACGATAATCTTTTTCGAATTGTAAAATCGTCCTTTCTTCCAACAACTCAGGCGTGCCCTCTGCTTTTCACAAAAAATATGAACTCGATACGGAGCTGAGCTTTTAACTAATGTAAATTTCTGAGACTTCAAGGAGCTCAGCCTCTGGTTAGTTGAATATAAAGACTGCATTGGTTCCCCATATGTAACACTTGCGCCATAGCATTTACGTTTTCATTTATCAGCACATAAGCAGCAGAAGAAGTGAAAGTGACATATGTATGTAGCTACAGCTGGATAGCCGAAGTTGTTGTTAAAACAACACGGTTCGTCTCGGAGTGTGTTGATAAATCACCAGGTCATTGACTGTTTCCTGATTCCATAGTTTGCAAACGAAGTAGAATTTGTTAGGAGTTTGTATCACTATTTCAAAGAATTTGTATGCTAAATTCTCTGTCCAAGTAGGAAAAAAATTGTTATGCGCAACGTTGATGTTCGCCGGTACACAGTATATGAAGGAGATCATTGTAGGTCTTTAAAATTAAACTAAGAAAATAGATATACCTCCAATTTAATGAATATTCGATAAATTAGTATAAGTTAAAGGAGAATGAAGTGCTCTTTCTAGTGGTGCTTGAGGAATCTAGCTGACAAAGACACTCGAATTGTATTTATTCGGGATTTCCTTCCCAAAAAATACTCAGTAGTCCAAGTTGATTTTATTTTTGATATAGGATTCATGTCCTAGCCTTTCTAATTATTTGTAATATAAATTCGATCGGATGTCTCTGCGAAAAGTTGTAATTCTGGAATTTCTTCTAATTCTTATAAATTCCCAATGCGATAAAGCGGTCCAAAAAATAGTAAATTTTTTACACTTTGTAGCCAAATCCTTTACAATAGTAGAGATTTTTGCGAAAATCTGAAAATTCTGAATAAAGACTTACGTTCCAACCTAATAGAAACGCATTACGTTTCAGTAAATCAGAATTTTTGAAAGATCCTTGTGGTTAGATGCAGAAATCGAAAATTTTAGGATTACATTCAGAAGCTGCTGTAGGCTGGGTTAATTAATTGTTCATATTCAATGAAAGTAGCCGAATAGATCTCGTCCAGGTCAACTCTATTCGGCCTCTCTTTCTTATAAAACTGTACTCAAGGCGGCCCGTAAAGGTCGAAGAACATCTCATTCAGAGTGCCTTCGCGGGGCTTTCGAAAAGCTGAGATTCCGCAATTTGTAGAAATTTGGGTCGAAATTACTTGTAAAGCAGAAATTCCACTTTTCAAATTTTGGTGAAATACTGCCTCAAAGTACTATTTGGTATATATTAGGTCTGGAATATAAGAGAAAGCGTGGGCTTAGGTATGACAGTCTTGTTTTTTGATAAGTGTTAGCTAACTTTATGAATTGTTTGTTTTTATTATTTTTCAAATATTATTATTTCCCAGCCTAATAGTGAAAAATTATACAAATAAATGGCAGATTTCACACACAGTGCTTGTCATCAATATTTGAATGTGATGATAGATTGTCGAAAAGCACCAGGTTATAAATCACGAAGGGTTGCAGAAGAGCAACTTCTATGCTTTTACTTTTTGCGTTCTTATGCTTTTGCCCCCATAACTTTGGGTCAGCTTACATTTATTTCTAGTTATTTTATGGTTGCTAAAAATTTTTAAGAGGTCTAAGATTGTGCTTCAGGCTCGCCTGAACTTAGTTCCTACAAATCTGAGCCCTTCAACATTGATGTTGCATAAAACAATAAATCAAGTCTATGAAGTTGAAGGACGAAGGCATCCTTGTCGCTTGGACGAGGAATTCACTTCAAATCATAATGAGTCTTGACTGAAGCTGGTTTTCTAGCCTCCTACTCGCAGGGTGAGCTGTTATCATAGAAATGCACTGACAAAAAGCAAAGCAAAGTGAATGACATTACGAGCAACAAAAAGTGAACAGCTATACGAAACCATTGCTTCAACTTCTTTTTCTATGTGAATAACGCCCTCATCACCCTGGAGCGCCACTGTACAAAAGCTCCGACTGATGTGGTTATGGGATTCGAACACTAGTTCTGACTATAGAACGAATTGTTCAGAGATATTATGGTTGAAAAAAGAAACTGCGAAAGTGGAAAACGAGTATAGTAGTCATTTGTCAGAAAAAAAGGAAACTGAAGACTTTTTTCTAGCAAAAAAAGAGGTCATTTCACTAACATTAACATCGAGCTGAGTCCATCGTTGACTATCTCTTCGAAGTAGTTTGTGGAGAGAATTCTCGATTTTACCCAACGTTCTGAGATTGAACGTATCTGGAGTAGTGTCCAGAAAAGTCCGGATCCCTATTTTTCGTCTTAAGTAATAGGAAAGTCTTGACAAAACCATAATTCAAGCAACAGCTCATACGTCCATTTCTAGCCGATAACCATCCCTAGGCTTTCTCCCGGTACCGTAATAACTTCAAGAAGACGATCAGCGTTCTTCAATACGGTAGGTGAATTTTTGTAAACGGGCTACCGAGCTGCCGCTTGGGCGATGGCCGAATTTTAACCCTTTTCCCCCATTAGCATCCATCCTTAAAAGTGAAAGATTGTTGTTAACTCGGGTTAGCATCGTTAAAAGAATATTTTGTCACATGGCCGAATCAAAACTCTACCCTCCCCCCGCCCTCTATTAGCATCCTTCCTTCAACGTGGAAGATTGTTATTAACTCGAGCTAACAGCTTCAAAAGTATATTTAGAACTCGAGCTAACAGCTTTGAAAGTATATTTAGCCACAGTTGTCGGCTAAGGAACCAGATTTGTTCCTGCACATTGTTGCAAAATGCTTGAATTAAGTTAATAAACGCAATTCTAGCATCAGGTTCCTCAAACGGGTTATTGCTTAAAGCGCAAGCTTAACCAATTCTCAACTTCTGCTAAAACTACCAAACACTGAAAGCCTACGATTCTGGATTTTCATTGTCAGACTATTCGAAGACCCCCAGTATACAATGGAGGAAGTGGGGAGGGGAGGAGTGGAGGAGGAGGTGGGAGGAAGGTGGGGGGGGGGGGGGGGCAAAGAAGAGGTAAATACTCTATGTAAGAATTGAAATGCGTACTTTCAAGAGCTTGGCGAGTGTTTTGAAAAGAATTTTCATGTGAAAAGTGGTAAAAGCTTTTGGTACTTGCACTTCTTGTTGTTCTTCTTTGTCTACTAAAATTTGGCAATTGAATTTTCAATATCTTCTTGTGTTTCAACCGCTCCTGACCCAATGTCCCTACGCAATACTTCACAAGTTTTTAGTGGCATGGTTACTGGATGACTATCGTCATCATAGCAGACTGTTTTTTTTAGCTTATGCTGAGGTTGGTAATATTACAAAGCCTATAGTACTGCTTATTAGAAACTTATTAGGGGGTGCAAGCAGAGGTGTGATAGGTGGAGCCGGGCCCCCCAAAAGTGAAGGTGGTTCCAGCTACCACTGGCCGGCCAAAAGTGAAGGTGGTAGTGCCGGACACTCACCTCCCAAAAACGTCGACCGGGGGAGGGGGGGGGGGGGGGAGAAGGGGGGACTTCGGATAATTGAAGAACTCTGACCCAACGATCTCCTTGAGGGCCAACAAGTGTGACCTAACGGCCCTCTTTAGGGCCACAAATACGATGAGTATAGCGGCATAAAAATAAAATAAAAAGAAATAAATATGTTATTCAAATGGTCTATTTGTAAGTAAATCCCAGTTAGACTTTACATATTTCATTAAGTAGATTTTGTTATAACGTACTGCGAATAAAGTAGGTCGATCCAGGCAGTAACCACCGAGAACCAGAATTTCAAATAATAAAATAGCGAAAAATCATGCGAAATTTCCACTGTTATAAATCTGATGGTTGAAGATGTCAGCAACTGCGACTTCATAGGTTTTGAAGGGCTAGTGTTGTTCTACCAGTCAGTGAAAGAATTAGATCGATCTGAGCAGTACTCGCCGAGAGCGAGAATTTTAAATAATTAAGCGATTTTAGGTTGCTTAGTGACAGCTGACGTTTAAACTCCTATAAATCTGGAATGTGAAAATATGCAATGTTGCGACTTCATAGGTTTTGTGGAGTAAGGATTGCTCTACCGGAGTATGCCTTAGCCGTACCGATCCATTGAAATAGCGCCGAGATCCAGGGTCTTGAAAAAGCAGGTAAAAAACCGCTTTTTGAACTTCAACAGCTCATAACTTCTTCAGAATTGCATGAATCATGTTGCGACTTCATAGG